GGGGTCATGTAATGCATGGATTGTGCTGGTCACATGACCTGCACAGGATCTACTTAACACACCTGTAAGTACTTTCGTAATTTCACTATGTGAGCCTGAAGAAGCAATGGGCGAAACGCGTTGCTCACAAATAAAGTAGTAAGTCATATCAGTGTGCGGTAGTTTGTTTTTTTGATTTTTCATGGAGTGGATCTGTTACACAAATGCAGCCATTTTCCAATTGGACACATCAGATGTTTTCCAAAATCTTAATGCGATTTTACATGCTAATGTCGTCAGAGCTGAAATAATTAGTTGAATAACTGATTTGTCAATTGAGAGATAATTAATTGCTACTTATTTAATTATTGTTTAAGTCATTTATCAAGCCAAAAATGCTCGTTCTAGCTTCTTGATTGTGAGGATTGCTGCTTTTTTTCCTTCAATAAACTGAATATCTTAAGGTTTTGGACTGTTAGATAAAACAAAAAATTTCAAGACGCTGCCTTAGGACTGAGAAAATTGTAATGGGTATTGTTCAGTATTTTTAAAGACATGTAATGGCTCAAACAATTATTCAGTGGAGTCTTGTTAACACAGACCCAATATAAAAGAAACACCAAATATGCCACTGAGTCAACAGCCCAGCTTCCTCTGTATTCTGCAGTTTTTCCTTTGAGATTTATCACACTCTGTCTAATCATCTCAGCTGACTACACAGAGGTCATAGGCCACTGGGGGAAAGGTGAAGAGGCTGAGCAACTGCTTGAACGTGTTTGCTTTTGCAAGGCACTTAGGGATGTCACATTTCTGTTCATGTCTAATAGAATAATAGAATCTACAGTAAGCCAGATGGTACCGATGTGTAAGACAAAGGGGTGTGTTGATGGAGTTTTGTGGTTTTAAACATATTTGATTGTATTTTGAGAGAGCAATTAGAATAAACAGGGATTTGGTCCCCCAGCCTGTACTACTTCAGTGATCTTGTCTGTGGATAAGTTCATTGATTGTTTACAAGTCTTTGAGTCAGACCGACCTTGAGCCAGACCGGCTGTCTTGCCACAACCAGCCAATCAGAGCCCTTCCTGGAGCCGGTCCGACCTTTGATTGGTAGATAATCTAAGGTTACAAATCACCTGGTAAAAGAATCTGTGCCAGAAGTATATCAGCGCATCCTTCTCATTGAAGCTGAGTTTGGCGGTTGCTGTAGCAGCACTAACAACAGCATTCCCAGGGTTGCTTTGATTGGATGTTCAGCTGAAAACCTGACCTGGCTGCTTTCTGTTACAGGTGAGTGGAGAAGAAATTCAATAGGAATAGAAAGTAGAAAGAAGGTGGAGACAACATGGCCATCTTGTCATCGGTTTGTGTGCAGTTATTGTACAGGTTTTTCCAGCTTAGATGTTGGCAGTGTTTCTGGTCGGTAAACTTGCAGTTATCCTCAGTGACGGAAGAAGGTTTGTGTGGCACTTGCATTCAAACAAATACCACTCTGACTGTGATGATTCTTCTGAATTCAATTCTATAGGCTAATTTGCAAACGTCAGGAAAAGTCTTAAATTATGTGCCATGAAATACAGCAGCTATAAGTTATGTTGTTTTTTTAATTCCAACTTTTTAAAAGCAAGTTGGAAACAATCCAAGATATTAGACAGGAGTATTTTAAGGGGAGTATATTATGATTACAAAAATTGCAATATGAAAAAATAAAAGAACTTAAAACAGGACTTGTCCAGTGCGGTACACTTTTGCTGCAACAGTCATACTTGGTCTGGTGGCTAATGTTTTGTAATGTTAGCCAACTTTATAGCTTATAACAGAAATAACTAAGTCGGTTTACTAGAGATATGACTCTCTACACTACATTTTAGCATGTATCATGATCTCATAATTGTCACTGGCCACAGTGGCTGCTGCTATGCAAAAGTCACATAGGCTGACTTAAATGCTAGGATCGTAGACCACAGATGTTGCATTACGTTTTGCACCAAAATCCTCCCTTTATGAAGCTATATCTTTGTTAACAATTATACTTTTATGTAAACCAAGAAGGTAGATGAGACTTTAATTGGGCCCTCCAAGCTTTTCACATCAAAATGTTTATCATCATCTTTGTTTTTTCATTCCAACAAAGTGGGGAATGATAGTAAAAGAGCAGTGATGCCTTGTGGCTGTGAGATCCATTTGCTAATGGATGATTGATTGATCTGATTTTCTAAGGTTCTCTGTCAAATCAACACCGTCAGTACCACTTGGTCTTGATATGATCATTGTTGTCCCTCAGTTTGGATTGTTAACTTGGAATCTGGGCCTAAGGTCATTCTCTTCATCCTCAAGGTTTCCATGGAGGTGGACCTGCCCCTGATTCTGTCAGACTCTGTTTCTAATCTGTTTTTCTTAATTCTTAAACAGTTCTTCTAGTCTATCACCTCGTGTGTGTGTGTGTGTGTGTGAGAGAGAGAGACACAACGGTTACAGCACTGAGGACTGTGTTATTCCCCACTCATTAAACACAAACACACACTTACCATGGGAACTATCCTCACCTGCTGAACATCTCCAGAGAGAATCTGCTAGATGTTATATGATCTAATTGCACTACAATATGAGCCGCTATTATTCTGCAGTAGAAGCAGCACTACAAAGTGCCGGAGGTCTCTGTGCTTAACATCCAGCCAAGTTTTGTCTTTGAGTAGGCTGTAGAAACACCGTTTTGCTGGTGGTTAACCTTGAGTGAAGAATGAATTTTAAAAACTGCGTGTCAAGTAATGAAAGAAAGCATGTTCTGTATTTTTATTTGATCTATTAGCATACTGTATCAGCATTTATTGGTCTATGAATCGCTTTAAATAGGCTATTGAAGTGCAATATGAAAAAGCAGACAATGAAAGCTTTCCTTTTAATGTTATTAACTGACTTATTTTGCCTTGTAACATGAACATACAGCTACAGTATAGGCATACAACCATATTGCGTTATTACATTGGATCTCCAACAAATGGCTAATTTCCTTTAAATATAGAAAATATACTTTTTCATGCCTTTCCAACCTAAATGTGTGCCCCCGGTGTGTTTAAAGACCCCCAAACTATGAGGGAATAAACCATCCTCTCTGTTTTTCTCCTGCTCAGTCTTTCAGTAAATGTGTGGGCAAGCACACGCTTTGAATTTGCCTCCCTTCTTGACATCATGAAGGGATCTGTGTAGCATAGGACCTCCTCCAGCCCTTCAGCGCAGTAGACAGCCCCACCTACTGCTCATAACAAAGCCCCACCGTCCAACAAAACAAAATAATCAGCAAATGCCAAATGTAATCAATCTATGCTCCCTTTGCTACAGAACTGCTAGCAAGCTAACGTTCGATAGCTGATGCTGAGCTCGATTTACATGTTTACCAACCGTTCAGGTGACTCACCTGTCTGGGTGTGTTTTCAGGTGCCTGTAAAAATGTGGTTGATCCAGCATCCTTTACTTTAGATACAACAAGAGTTGCATTTAGAGATCCTTTTCTTTGGGCTTTGTGTGAAGTTATTATAGCCAAACGTATTGAAGAATGGCACAGCAGCTGCAAGTGTGCTCATGATGGCGTTGTTGCTGCAGATTTACAATCACGATGTGGCGTAAGGAAAGGCGTGATAATAAGGGAGGGATTGCTGTTTAGCTTTTCAGATATTTACTTAGTGGAAATGCGCCAAAAAATAAAATTAATATTGTTCACCAGTCTTTAAAGGATGAGTCTCAAGTTAAGTCTCTGTATGTGTGGCTTAAGTGCGACTCCAGTCCACTCAGCAAACTTGAGTTCCCATTTTGATCCTTGGTGGTTCCTGTCCAGAACTGAGAGTTGAGAGTTGGGGTCCTACATGAACACAACATGTTCTGCCAAAGTTAGAACAGTTTTGGTTATTTCACATGACAGATTTATGCATTTTTGTCCTTGCTTTTCGGACTACTTTAACAAGAGGCCCTTGTTAGCGTTCCAGCGCTTTGTTCCTGGCTGAAATATCTCAAACTATTGAATGGTTTGCTGTGAAATTTGCTACTTACATTCATGGTCGCAGAAGATGAGTACTGGCTTTGGTGACCTTTCTCGTGGTGCCACTAGCAGGTTGACTTTTGTGGGTCAGAGTGGAATTTCTTGATAACTATTTTATGTTTTGCTGTGAAATTTGCTGCAAACATTCATGACACCATTCATGATTTTTTATATAGCACCACCAGCAAGTCAAAATTCCATTTTGCCAATACTTTGGTTTATGGTCAAATGCCTGCTAACTAATGCCATTCACTAAAGCTACACCTGTACTGTGTTTAGTGCTAATAAGCAGGTTTTAGCACGCAGCTAGCAATAGGCTAAACTAAGTGATTAAGCACATGCTAAACATCGGCATGTTAGCATTGTCGTAGTCAGCATATTAGCATGCTGATGTTCAAACAGATATTGTTCCATTTTCATGGATGGATATAGTCAGAGATGTTTTATAGTCTCACACATGAAGCCTACTTTTGCCCCTACATACACTCTTCCTTCACATCTTTTGAAAGCGGTCTTTTGTCTATAATAAATAGGCTAGCTCTCTCATAAATGGCACTGTTCTATCCGGTTTTAAACATGCTGTGGTTCAGCCTCTTAATAAAAAGCCCAGTCTACACCCTATAGATTTTAATCATTTTAGGCCCATTACTAAATAATCATTTATGTCCAAAATACTGGAGTAGGCTGTTCTTTCTCAGCTCTTTTCATTTTTAACTAATAATAATGTGTTGGACAACTTTCAGTCCGGTTTCAGAGTTCACCATAACTCAGAGACAGCACTGCTGAATGATTTGTTGCTGTTCGTTCATTCTGGAAATTGTTCTGTTTTCCTCTTGCTTGACTTTAGCGCTGTTTTTGACAGTGTTAATAATGACATCCTCCCTGGATCGCCTCCAGCAAGGGATTGGTATCCAGGGTGTTGCTCTACAGTGGTTCAACTCCTTTTTATAAAGATAGAACTTTCCCCGGTTAGTATTGGAAATATTTCCTCCTCGTCGGCAGCAATCACATGTGGATTACCTCAAGATTCGATTCTGGGTTTTTTATTCTTCTTGTATATGCTAGTCGAAAGTTGAAAAGCTTGTTTCTTTGTCGAGGACTTGGAGATTGTTTAACGTGCACTTATAACGTCCCATATTGATTATTGTAAGTCTTTGTGCTCTGGAATCTGTAACTCACCATTATCATGCATGCGACTTGTTCAGAATGTAACTGCTAGATTGTTGACTGGTACAAGGAAGAGGGACCACATCTCCCTGATACTGGCCTCTCTTCACTGGGAACCAGTCAAATATAGAGTTAATTTTAAGGTGCTGCTAATTGTTTTTAAGGCATTACATGGTTTGGCTCCATTGCATATTTCAGATGTTGCGTCACTCCCGTAGGCCCTTAGATCATCAGACCAGTTCCTTTTAGCCATTTTACAGTCAGATGAAAACAAAGGGTGATTGTGCCTTTTTGGATGTAGCCGCAAGACTGTGAAATAAACTTCCTATAATTATAAGGTACCGGCTTAAAAGATATTTTTAACTGTTGGCGTCCGAGTCTGTTTAGGGACACTCATGCTGTCTGTTTAATGTTTTTTGTATGCATTTTTCACGTTATTTATTGTTATATGTTTTTATTTGATTGGTGTGTTTTTTTTAGCACACAACTTTGTTTAACTTTGGTTGTTAAATGTGATTAATAAATAAAGTGACTTAACATGACTTGGAAATACTATTAACCACGGGGTCCCGGTGTAGCTCTGCTCATTCCTGAATACACAGGACACAAGTGTACATATGTTTTGTAATTAGAAGTTATAATTGTGAAGTTGTTTTCTCCTGCTTTCTCTAGATCCCCTCCTGGTCCGCATCCCTCCACACACTCCTTCCTGTAACACACACACACTCTTAACATCAACTCTACTGGCACTGTTTCAGCCCCACGTTCATCTAACGCCCACACTCACGCAAGTTTACCACTCCACTGACACGCACAAACACTTTTCACAAACACACACTCGCCTTTGACCTTGCCGGCAGCATCATGCTGAGCCAGGAGTTCTTGCAGAAGCTCAGGTTTCCAGAGCTGGATGACGTCAGCCAGTACATCAGGAATGTCTCCACCCCCGTGTTGGTCAGCATGGGGGCCATGGCTGCTGCGACAACCTTCTACCTGGCAACACGACCCAAGGCCCTCCCACCAGTCTGCGACCCCGACACGCAGTCAGTTGAGGTTCCGGTAAGTTTGAGGCACAGACTGTAATATTGTGGACTATCATTTTGACACCTCAGTTTGGCATTTTGGCCGTTGCCATCTTAGTTTTTTGGAACTACAATTGGCCATATTCAGACAAGAGGGTTGAGCTGGGGAGGAGCGAGGGATGACATAGCCATGAATTTGGTCCTCCAAATTCAGTTTGCTGGTAATGCTGAATGTAAATTTCATCCATCACTGTGCATCCATAATTCACGGATCACTGTTGACTGTGATGCTAATTTTGGCCAGCAAAAAAATGGCTTAAAACAAAAATGGACTTACCTGAAAAATTATTAAGCTGACTCCTTAGAGTGTGTTATTGTACAAACAAACACTGAACAAGACATTTTCATGAACTGAAAACAAACTGTCAAAGGCTAGTTAAATAAGCTTTTTCAATGGCGCTGGTTAAATGTACACAATGCAGTGGATACGAGTCGCCTCTGTCCTGATCGACAGGTTGTGGTGGTTGTGACTTCTCAGCCACAAGGTAGTCACACCCTAAAGCATTCCCTGCTTTGTAGTCTATGAGGTGAGTCGCCCGTCCCCCCCTTCTCTGTGAAGCACTTTGAGTTTCCATGATTAAGCGCTATATGAATGTAATGCATTATTATTATTATTTTACTCTAAATGGGACCATAATTTACAAAATGAACATCATGCTGTATTGAAGAAGACTTGAAACTAGCTATTGAGACATGAACTCATTAGGAAAGTGTTTGTCGAAGCCACATTTGCTTCTTTTGTCAGGGCGGAGAGTTGGCACGCCGATCAGTTCTGCTGAATGGAGACTGTCACTTGACACATTGCTACGATGATGCCAGAACATTGTATGAGTTCTTCCTCAGAGGGGCCAGAGTCTCCAGTAAGTCACAAATACATTCATATCATATGATTGAGAGCATATGTATCTTTAGTTGTAGAGTTACTCGTCAGCCTTGTTATTGCTTTTACCCTGTACTTTACTTCACACATCACAGCATCTTTTTTCAAAGAAAGAACAGGTGTGTTGTTTGTCAGCAGCCGCATACTGCATACAGGGTAGCAAGGTTTAGTATGTACAGTATTTGATAAGTAAGTGTAACCAAAATTCTCTTTTTTGTCTTTGACTCTCTCTCCCCACTCTCTTTCCTTTCATCTATAAGATAACGGTCCCTGTCTGGGCTCCAGGAAACCAAAACAGCCCTATGAATGGATTTCCTACAGAGAGGTAAGAGTCGCAGTGAGCAGCTCACCACATAAAAACACGGCCCACAGCTTGACAGCAGTAGAGCTAAAGGTTTCACAAGGCATAAACAGGTGGTGGTGTTGGTAAAGCCGGCGGCAAGGTGAGACAAATAGGACCTCTGTGGGTTGTCCATGTCTTTATGTTTCTAAAGTAGCATATTTAAAGAACTGTGTTTCACCTTGCCTTTGATAATAAAAGGTGTATTTCACCAGTTTTGTCCACAACCCAAGATATTCAGTAGTGGTTAACTTAAATGTTTTTTTCAGAGGCCGATATTTAGAGAGCAGGGAGGCCAGTGGCTGATATATAATGCGAATATCTAAACAAAGAAAAGTCATGTACAATTTCTTTATTCCATGCGGAGTACAGTCTAAGATACATGGTTATTTTAGACAGTAATGTGTTTGTTTAGATGGAATTTTAATAAATTAATGAAATAGAAAAATACATTGGGTTATGCTTTAGATTTCAGAACGTGACTGGTGTTAAAGGGAGAGTGGGGTACAGTTTGTCAGAAGTGACGTCATTCAATTGCATTATTCTCTACAGTATAACTCTGTGTGTGTGTGTGTGTGTGTGTGTGTCTTAGGTAAAGGAGCGAGCAGAGAATTTGGGTTCAGCATTTCTTCACAAAGGACACTCCAAGACCACCAACTCCCACATTGGCATCTTCTCTCAGAACAGACCCGAGGTACAGACACAAAGTGCCCAACTAACAAAGAAATATACTTGGAATGCCAAAATCCATTAATATTAACGTCTTTCAGTTTTTACTACCAACATTTTTGTTTGACATTACTACGGCTCATAATGTCCCAATCACGTGTTGAAAACCTGCAGACAAACAGGTGCATAAAATGTTTTATTAGTTTTTGTCTTCTGGGTAGCCCAGCTTACTCTGAAAATAACATTAAATGGCTTGTTGGACTAATACATGTAGCCAGTAAATAGAGTGAAACCACAGCAAGAAAGCCAAGGGGTTAGAGCTTTAGTGATTCTCAGTTATTTAATTTAAATGTTAAACAGAGTGTCTGTCAACTCAGATAGACCTTTTTTTCTATTGTCAAAAATGACATGAATAATGACATTAACCTGATCAGCACAGGAGTTTATATACAGTCTACAATTTTACAGAGTAAATGGATAAGCTTATAATGTGTGTGTGTGTGTGTGTGTGTGTGTAGTGGACCATCAGTGAGCTGGCATGTTACACCTATTCTCTGGTGTCAGTCCCTCTGTACGACACACTGGGAACAGAAGCCATCGCCTACATTATAGACCAAGGTAAACCACAGCAGCAACATAACTCAAACACTTTAACATGCCGGCGTTTCTGTTGGTGGAGAACTACGACTTATTCGATTTGTCTACATTTGTTTGGATGTTGTTTCTGCAGCGTCCATCTCGACTATAGTGTGTGACGTGATAGAAAAAGCCAACCTGGTACTGGCCTGTGTCAAGGACAGGGAACACTCTGTGAAAATCATCGTTCTAATGGAGTCCCCCAGTGCCGAACTGGTCAACAGGGGGCAACAGGCTGGAATCCACATTCTCAGCCTGCAGGATATGGAGGTCGGCCGCAAGCTTTTGTCCTCACCTCCGTCTTTCTTTTATTCCTTAATCAGTTCTTCGACTTTTTTCTTTTTTTATGTTTAGTTCTGTCAACATTCTGTGTTGTTTGCTTAACAAGCTTTGCCTTTTTCTCTTTTTTGCATGTTATTCTTTCGTTCTTGTTTGCTTATTTCTCCTTAACCTTTTTCTGTGTCTGCATTGTTTTTTGTTTTATCTTGCTGTTGTGTCTTTCCTCATTTGACACCTTGATTTGTTTGTACTTCCTTTTGATTTATTGCTTTGTTGTCATGTAAATTTATTTCATTTCTTGTCTTCATTCTAGTCTTATTTTGTATTTAGAGTTCCTTTATTGCACTGAGGAATTTTTTGTTTTGTGTGTGTGTTTTTTGTGTTGTTATTTGCTTTCTTGTCATTTAATCCACAGTGACTTTATTAATGTGCTTTTCTTTTGCGTAGGCTATCGGAAAGGCCAACCATCGTCTACCAGTGGTGAGTAAATGGTTTAATTACCTCTCACCAGTCACTCAATACAATACAATAGTGTTCATGTTCATACAGTGTGTGTCATGTTGCCCTATTTGACTATTGACTCCCATCCCACCAGCCTCCGCGACCTGAGGACATGGCTGTCATCTGCTTCACCAGCGGAACAACAGGTGACGCCCACACACAGTAAATTGAACCCAATATACTTTCCATGAGTATCTGAAGTATATACTACATATATATTTTAAAACTTTAATAATAATAATAATCTTTATTTATAGAGCGCTTCAAAAACCAGTTACAACGTGTTTTCACAAGTGTAAAAACAATAAAACACATAAAAACAGTTACATGCTAAAAACAAGAAAACATTTATAAGACTAGAATACACGTTTAAAATAAATATAGAATATATAAAAATAAAATAAAGTTAAATAAAAATAAAATAAGATCGGGAAAGGCTCTCCTATAAAAGTATGTTTTAAGAAGGGACTTAAAGGAGTTCACTGACTCAGCTGACCTGATTTCCTCGGGCAGGCTGTTCCAGATCCTCGGGGCCCTGACAGAAAACGCTCTGTCCCCTTTAGTTTTCAGTCGAGACTCTGGAACAGACAGCAGACCTCTGCCCGAGGATCTCAAGGTACGCGTATGGGACTAAAAGGTCAGAAATATAATTGTATATATTTATATAAATGAAGAGCTTTAAAAGTGATCAATAGAATTTTAAAGTCAATTCTAAAACACACTGGGAGCCAGTGTAATGAAGCTAAAACAGGAGTAATGTGGTCATATTTCTTTGTTCTGGTAAAAAGCCTGGCAGCTGAGTTCTGGACAGTCTGGAGTCGATCAGTAGATTTTTGGGTTAAACAAGTTAAAAGGCTTTAAAGTGTGTGTGTTTGTACTTTCAGGAAACCCAAAGGGAGCTATGTTAACACATGGGAATATTGTGTCCAACTGCTCCGCCTTCATCAAAATGACAGAGGTGAGGCACTGATGTAATACTTGAACTGTTAAAGTCACAGTGGAACCACAGTTAGAGCGTCTTTAGAAGGATTTAAATCAAAGGACGACTTCCTTCTCAGGTTTCTCCTCCCCTTCCCCCCCCTCTCTATCCTCCTCTAGCCTCCTCTTCTTCTCTAGTTCCTCCTTTCTCCTCCTTCCTCTTTTGTGTTGTTAGGTCAGGAAGTGGATGATGAGGGAGAAATGAATAAATAAAAACCTCAACCCTCTTTTGGAAATCTATTTTTGTCAACTGATACACACAAACACACAGCTCCTGCTTTGATACTGCTGTACTAGCTTCTACGACCCACGAGTTAAGTGTGGTGTAGAGCTTATTTTTTATTTCAGTGTGTCTTTAATTCTGCCATATTATAACCTTGTTGAAGAGGCTAAGCAAACGCTTTAAGCCACTGAGGTGCTGACACCGGGGAGACCTAATTAACACGTTGATAATTGTTTCTGATTAATCAAAGTGAGAGACAGTTGAACATTTATTGTTGGTGATAAACTTCTTTGTGTCTATTAAACTCGAACATATTTGCAGTAATAAACAAACGATGGATCCAGAAGTACCACCATATTTGAAGAGGAAGAAATACTAATAAAATGCTAAAACTTTATCTGCATTTGTTTGAAGAGGGGGGGGGGGACTGTGATTAAGTCTTTCCTCTTCTCTCCAGTCTTACGCTCAGACCACCTCAGAAGATGTTATGCTGTCTTTTCTGCCCCTCGCTCACATGTTTGAGAGGGTGGTAGAGGTATAAACATTAACACTGACTGTGTTCCCTTCCTGTCTGTTTGTCTGGGTTGTGGTCATTGGTGTGTGTTTGTATATCTGTGCGTCCCTGTCTGTGTGTGCGCCTGTTTTAGGTTTCCTGTCCATTGTGTCCCAGTGATGTCCATATTTCCTTCCTGCCCTTGGCTCATATGTTTGAGAGAGTAGTGCAGGTATTGTATGTTTCCTTAGTTCCCATAGTCACCCTTTGTTAAAGGCAGATCAATAGTCCTGCACACCCTGTGTGTCAGCCTCTCTTTCATTACACACTGAGCAGTTATGGTGACCTGTTAACGTTTCCCTTCTGTATCTTTCTGACAGGGAGTGATGCTCGTGCAGGGAGCCAGGATTGGCTATTTCCAGGGAGATATTCGTTGGCTCTCAGATGACCTCAACACATTGAAACCGACTGTGTTCCCTGTGGTACCCCGACTCCTGAACAGGATGTATGATAAGGTGGGTGGGCACGATGATGACAGCCTTATAAACAGGAGTATTAGCCAAGAGACTCTCTGCCGCTGCTCATATTAACGTCACTTATAACTGGTTAATGGTCAAGATGCCCGTGCTGATGAATGCAGCATAAATGAGCCTTCATGTGGGTGTGTGTGTGCCTCTGTAGATCTTTGGGCAGGCCAACACCTCTCTGAAGCGCTGGCTGCTGGGATTTGCCTACAGGAGGAAGGAGGCAGAGATGATGAAGGGCATCGTGAGGACAGACAGTATCTGGGATCGACTCATCTTCCGGAAGGTCCAGGTACACAGAGCCAGTACAGTTGGTTGAGTGCTACACATGGAGGTTTTACTGAACGGACCCACCGGGCACAGGCACAGGGGGCCAAGGGGTAAAGGGGCCCCTGGTCCAGAACCTCTGTTGGAAGTGGCTGTTAACATTTCTTGTTGGAAAGTGTGTCAAAAGATAAAAAGTGTCAGAAAACGACTACAAAGACCCGTTAGAAGACAGTGTGATATGCAATAAACAAATTGTGAACTGACCCCAAGAATAAAGAAGAAGTTTATTTATTTGTTTTTGTTTTACAAAACACTACCTGTTTAAGTTCAAAAGTAACTTCAGACTTCATTGGCCCTACAGTACTTATTCGGATGAGACCTTTAAAAAGCTGTCTTTGAAATTATTTTATGTAAGTTTGCCACACATTTTCAGTTCCTCACTACAACAGCCAAATAAATTCACCCCTCAAAGAAACACAGTCCCCTCATTTTAAACAGCTCTTGGCTACTTTTAGGTTGTAATTTGTTTTTCACCTTATACATGATTTGTGTAGTTTTAAAGTGTACATAATGTCTGAATTTAATAGACAGTGGGTTAGTTGGTTCTTGAAAAGCATTTTTATTTTGTTATTTACTCTAAATTCAGTACTCAATACTTGGTTTCAATACAAACATTGTGTAAAGACATGTAACGTTTGCAGCCACATGCTTAACTCCTAGGGCTCCTAGTGCCTGTTAAAGGCCTGCACAGGTTAACATCCTCGCAGGAAAATACATACAGGAAAGTATCATCCTCCAACAGTCTTAATGATGAAGCAGGAGGGATTAGACACTATTAGGCAAATATATTTTTAATTATTTATATAATCTAACTGAGCTGTCAAGTATTGTATGTAATGTGCTGCCATCTACAGGCCAGCCTTGGAGGTCGTGTGCGTCTCATGATAACAGGAGCTGCCCCCATCTCTCCGAGGGTCCTCACCTTCCTCAGAGCTGCAATAGGCTGTCAGGTAAGACAAACACGCTCATGTTCCACCACCTTTTACTGGAGTTATCAATGTACACCAGTAGGTAATGTGTAGAAATGCCACCATCTGATCTGTGATTGTGACATTTCCTCATCCACATTCTCTGTGACATTTCCTCATCCACATTCTCTGTTCCCAATCAGATCTACATTGCATAATCCAGTGTTTGTAGTAGAAGGAGTAGTAGATGAGAATTGTGAGTAATACTTTCTTTTCTCTGTCTCAGTTCTATGAAGGCTATGGACAAACAGAGTGTACTGCTGGATGCACCATGACCGTGCCTGGGGACTGTAGTGCAGGTAACAAATAACAAAACTACTTGACTTAACTAATTGTAATTAACCGGAAAAAAACAATTTCTTAGTAATTCATGGCATTTAGCCTTGTAAAAGTGATGAACTGGCTGATTTACAAGAACTTAACTTGACCTCATGTCAACAGGTCATGTTGGCGCTCCTCTGCCCTGTAACTCAATTAAACTAGTGGATGTGCCTGAGATGAACTACCTGGCTGAAAACGGGGAGGGAGAGGTGAAACACAAAGACAAACAAACACTGTCACAGAAACTCTTTTTTTTAAACATGTTTCTAATCATGTATGCCATTCATAACTGTGTTTGTGTCCAGGTGTGTGTGAGTGGTCCTAACGTGTTCCAGGGCTATCTGAAGGACCCCGAGAAGACTAAGGACGCTATTGATGCAGATGGATGGCTTCACACTGGAGACATTGGAAAATGGCTTCCGGTAGGTTAGCTTCTGTTGTTTGGATTCAACTTCACACGTTGTTATTTTTTTTTTATCAACCTCACTTTGTTCATTTCAACCAAATCACACTTAGCTAGATAAAACTCTGGATTAGGGATGAAACGGTATAAAAATTTCAAATTGCGATTATAGTGACCAAAATTATAACAGTGTACTGATACACACAATGAAACCATTTCAACAAGTTTTACTTTGAAAACTACAAATACAATTGCCATTTTGTTTGCATAAAAAATAAAATAACAGCAAATAGCTTTTGTAAACAAATAAAAATCATCAAAGTGTGCATTATCAAGATTTTATATTTTATAGGTAATACAATGATCCTGTGGACAATTACTTAAGTCTTTAGAAGACAGTAATAGTAACTGCAATGAGCCCAAAAATAGCGCGGTTAACCGTACCCGGTTACCATGGTTTACCGTTAAACCGGTAATCGTTTCATCCCTACTCTGGATCTCTGTCAGCCTGTATGCGTTTCATGAATATGTGGACAAAAGATCATTCTGTGTACAATTCTGTGTTTGCAGAATGGCACGCTGAAGATTGTGGACAGGAAGAAGCACATCTTTAAGCTGGCACAGGGGGAGTACATTGCTCCTGAAAAGATAGAGAATATCTACTTGAGGAGTGAAGCAGTGGCACAGATCTTTGTGCACGGGGACAGTCTGCAGGTAGGCAGAGGATATTTTGTGGTTTGAGCCATTGAGCACAATGCCAGGCCCTTAAAGTTACTCCTGGCTCCTTTTGACCTCTGTTCCCTTTAGTGGAATTTGAGTGTGTCAATCAGTGGGATTGGTGCATTATGAAACAAAAACCTAACTACACTATAATGCAGCTGTTCAGTCATTCTGAATGTATTGTGTTTATCTCCAGGCATGTCTGGTAGCTGTGGTGGTTCCTGACCCTGATTTCTTGCCTGGCTGGACCAAGAGGAACTTGAGACTGGAGGGCAGCTACCAGGAACTATGTGGCAGAGCGGTAATACTTTTATAATACTTTTAATACTTTACTACTAATACTACTTTGTGAAATTTTATTGAACTACATTTTTAACTAAGACCATGTCAGAAAGATAACAATTAAACTCTATGGCAATTTTTTTAGGTGGTAGTTTGTGGTGGTGTTGTATTGGATTGCACTGTATTGTAAGGTGTGTGTGCACAAAATGACTGTACACAGACTACCTTGGAATAATGTTTTTTAGAATATACTGTGTTGCTACGGTGAGAATTTTGACATGTCAGAAAAAATAGTGAGTTAGTCCAAACACCTATTTAATGTTATAAAAAACATAGACCATGTACCAACTGTTAACCAATAGAGCTTGTTATTCTGAGGTACCTCTCATTTTGTCTGTACAGGAAGTCAAGGCAGCTATCTTGGAGGACATAGTGCGATTGGGCAAAGAAGGAGGCCTCAAGTCCTTCGAGCAGGTACAACACTCGCTTATTATTCAGCAAAGATTTGAAACATCTATGTTTAATATCTAGCTCTGTAGACCTAGTAGTGTTACAAACTTTTTTTCAGGCAGGAGATGCTGATCCTGGAAGAGAAACATTATTATCCTCTCTAACACAACCTGCCAACGTGTGTGTGTGTGTGTCCTTTAGGTGAAGGCAATCTACATCCACACCGAGCTGTTCTCAATCGAGAACAGCCTGCTCACGCCAACACTGAAGTCCAAGAGGAACGAAATACGACAGCACTTCAGATCCCAGATAGACGAGCTGTACGCTGGGATCAAAATATAGAAGGAGAGGAGGAGAGTAAAAAGAAAGAACACAAGAGCCCTTCCAAATGTGTTTCAGATGAAGAAAAAAGGAGGAGGCAGAGACATGGGGAAGGAAATGAAGGGGTCTTCTCAGACCAAAAAGATCATCAGACTGTTTAGTCCTCCTGGCCACACTAGAAATAACAGGAACAGGAGGTCATGTAGATTTTAATGGAACTTGATTCAGAGCATTTAGAACAAAATCAGTGCCTGATATGATCTATGGCACCAAACACAAAACCTGTGAGGGTCCAGAGTTGATTGTATTTTTAAAATCAATGTGTCTATTGATGAAGTAGTTTTGCCCATGCTATGTACAATACAAATGTTGTTGATGATGTTTTGATTCTAATCGTTTTGTGATATTAACTCCATTATGGGCATTGTAAAGGGAAATCTCAAAGTGCAGCTCTATAGCATCAGATATCTCAGGACTTTAATGTCAAGAACCACACACAGTACCTCTTACACTCACATACGCACACAACTTCTTAACTTTAAGGATAAAGAGGGAAGACTCAGACCACCAAAACAAGTTCACCAATGGTCAGGAGCCGAACAGCTTCATACACCACAACTTCAATGTTTAAGTGTCTTTGAGTTTATTTTGTCAGATGTTTCTTGAGTTTCAGTAGAAAAATCCGCAATCCACAATGGAGAACAGGATTTTTTCTATTGGGTCCTTAAATCTTTTCATGAATAAGCTTGGGTCCAATTAAAGTCCAATTACAGACTAGTTTTACACAAGGAATTCAGGTACTAAAGAACATTTGGGACATATGGAAGCTGTGTCACATTTTAATTTATTTATGAGAGTAACAGGAAGGAAAGTTTGTTGAAGGAATCAGTCCTCAATTATTATAGTAGGTGATAAATGAAATCCTCTCGAATGTTTATAATTTTAATTTCATGGAGATAAACTTTGGTCTTGCTATAATTGTTTGAACTATCAATTCAGATTTGTTTTGTAAAAATTTTAATTAAAAAATCATCAAAACGCTGTGAGCTCATGTCAGTTTTTTCATCAGTGCTGTGTGCACAGGACACACATGAATGTATGTAGCTCAGTTTATTTCTACTCAAGGCACATTTTATCCTCTATTTATATATTATATCATGGATTTTTTTTATTTACATCATAGACTGCACAAAAGAAATATGCATTGGACTAACATTTAGAAACATCCCTTTATCTAGCTTAGGTGCTGAACGAATAATTGTTTGTGTTGTAGGATACTGAACTTTGTCGCTCTCCGTAGGACCCGAAATGTATACGAAACCTCTCGGGTTAGATCAGTTTAACAAAATTTCTGTGCAAATGTTTATTTTAAGTATATCTGTCCAGACGATATCACTGTCAAATTAAGTACAAAACAGTGTAATTTTATCCACGCCATTACCTCATTTTGAGCTGTAACGTTTTCGCTGTAAAAAGTAGTACCGCCTGCCTCCCCCGTGTATCTGGAATGGTACAGTCCGGAACTTGAAACATTTTGCGGGAAGCTGTTTCGAGCTGCGGAGTGTTGACAAAACAAACTTATCAACGCTAAACTACAGTTGTTCCACATGGGGTGAGAAAAATATTAATTATGAGTTATAGTCCAGCCGAAATCCGAACACATATCCACGACACACTGCTTTCTCGTATGTTGGTAAAGTCAAAATTCCATTTGAAAATCTGACGATATAACGTTGCCCTGCTTGTCCAACGTTAGTGGTAAATGTAACGATAACAGGTTAACGTTAACTTACGTTATTATGCCGCTTGAGATACTTTACATGTCTGTAATCTTTTGTGCTGCTAGTGTCGGCATGTAATAGAGCTAAGTAGCAACTTTTTAATTGATAACTCTTCGCAACCGCCATTTAACGTCAACTTAACTTACTGCAAGTTAACGTTAACGTTAGGCTAATAACGTTAATATGGTAGAAGGTGTTTGTGAGAAAAGTGCTCAAACTAGCTGAAACAAATAGGGCTTTGTTTGTTTTAAGCGTTGCTTGGTGGTGATAGAAGCATAACGAGCTATAAACAGCTCAAGAAAGTACTTTATAAGGGTTGTAACAAATACATTAATGTGCCACATTACTGAATGGAGTTTGGTTTGAGGTTAGCCAGCTGAAACAGAACGACACAACGGCTCCCTAAACTCTAACATTAGCCTGGAGGGAATGGAAACTCAGTGTCACTTCAGCGGGGAGGATGCTCAACGACACAGAGATGAGAGTGGTTTGGTTGGAGGTGTCACCTGGGGGTGGCGGTGGCAGAAATATTGACAATGATGATGAAGTGGCCCTGTCTTCTTTGTTTCCGCAGTCCCAAAAAGGGCAGAGGGGCCAAAGTGGTCGCAGTGCCAGAGAGTCAAGTGAGTTGGTTAATGGTCGCTGTAGCATTTGCACAACTTATTTGATGAAAATTGAAGTGCACTATGATTTGGTCGTCACCTTGTCACATGTATATATTTTTCTCCCCCTTTCAGTAAAAAACGCATGGCGGAATTTCCATACCACATTCTGATGTCTGTCTGTAATTGTGTTATGGTTATTACACCTTGCTGCATTGCACAGCATTATGGAATTTGAATTGTATTGTTCTCTATTGTGTTCAAATTCAGAAGGATTCATCCTTTGATCATGCGGATTCTCCCAACCTGTCTGCTATAGAGAGAGCTAGCTTCCTGGAGGGACTGCAGCCAAGTCATGGTGAGTCTTCACTGTACGGCTCTATTTTTATCCCTGCCAGTGTCATCATGTCTCTGTGAGTCTTTAAAAGGTGAGAAACGGCAATGGATCATTCGATTTTAACATCTTAAAAATAATCAAATGTATTTTTTGAATGTGCTAGTTGAAGCCAAACACAGCAAACATGGTTGCTAAACTATATGTTGGATAGACCTATTTCTCATTTTTAATTAAATTATTAATGAACCATGATATGATTACTATTATAAGTGGATCAGCAGTGCATTCTGTTGTATATTTTTTATTCTACTCCTTATCTTGTGTTACTGTTTTGTTATTATTTTTCTGCAGCACTTCAAGCTGATGTCACATTAACACTGGCAAACAGTTTGCTCCATGTGTTCCTCTGTGTGTCCCTACATCTACTTCTTCCTTTTTCCCCTCTCTTCACTTAGGTCACCTTGTTTTCCAGCATAATTCCAAACCACCAATCTTGTGCTGACCAGAAAACTCTTATTTTGCCCAGGTAACCCTCTGCACAGTACCGCATTGGAGGAAGATTTAAATGTCTTAGAGAAGGGACAGATGGACAAAGGAAAAGCTGGGAGGAAGGATATTCCTCAGACGTCGAAGACCACTGTTAAACAGCGTAGTGCTGCTGTGAAGAGAAAGAAAACAGAGAGAGATGGAGACAGTGAGGAGGAGGAAGAGGAGAAGAGGAAGAGCAGGAGAAGTACTGGAGGCAAGGTCAAAGCCAGGTGAGGTCAATGGACTTTACTTTCCACACTGGTACTACTGTGTTATGATGTGAATGCAGCTTTTCCTTAGAACTTAGTTAACTCCAGTGCTTCTGTCTGAATTAAACAGGCCAGGAGAGAAACAGAGAAAGAAGGGAGCGCCTCAGAGGGAAAGGGGAGAGTTAGCTGTGGAGAGGAAGGAGCCAGATCAGCCAGACCCAAGCTCCAACCTCCAGAAAAGCAACCAGCTGACCTCAGCAGCCGGCAGTCTCAAACATTTAGTTGGGAAAAGGCCCGCTAAAAGGAGGAGTGCTGGACAGATGACTGCAGCGAGGTGAGGTTTACCTTGCCTTCCACCTGTCCCCGATAAATGCTTTTTGTCTATAAAGACACGTTTAGTTTTTTTTTACTTTATTGAGAAGAAAACCATAGGTTAAAGAAGGAAATTACACCAAGGTAGAAACAAAGGGGTTAATGAATTAAATGAGTATTGAAAGAATAAATCAACTCCTTTGAAAAAGAAGTACACATTCCTTAGTGAATAATTACATTGCCATAGCTACATGGGTCTTTTGGTTGGAGAAATCAAGACAAATGTATTAGTAATAATAGTATTTTTTTATTTACAGCTCAATATCATGCACCACGTTACAATGGGCTTTACAAGCATGCATGACCCGCATGAGCTCTAAAAGATCAGTAAACCTCCACAAAAACATCTTGGATAAAAACAGGAAAAGTCAGTAGAGGCAATGTCCCTTTTTAGAAAGACAAAAACACTCAGAGTATGTACAGCAGTTGCATTAAAATCCACCAAGAGGTCCAACACTAATGTCATAAATCCAGTATAAGATACTGTGATTAAAAAAATAGTTTGTTCCAGGTTCAAGGGATCAGGGGAAGGGGTTAGAAATTGTTGTGTGACACATAATAGTCTGGCTGTTGTGTCAATTTTCTCTACTGTTTGTTGATATCCAGTCATAACACTGCCTAGATCTGTCTGTCTTCCCATTAAATTCTTTATTGGTCTTTGCGTCCCATCAAGGCCCGTGAAAAACCAGCTGATGAAGAAGGACAAGAAGAGACAGAGTGAATCGGGAAGTGGAAACTCCAGTGACCCTCAGTCACAAGTGAGGAAGTTAATGATAATGCCTCCAATAACAATGGTAGCATCTGTTGAATATCACAGTTGTGGTAATCACGTCATAATGAAAGTAGCATTAAGGGAAAAAAACTAGTAAAGGAACATCTAGTAAAGTGGAGACTGTCCATATCCTGAGACAATGCTATGCTACATATTGTTTTCTTAAAGGTGGATTCTGACACAGACACCGCCCAGCAGAGACGTAGGAAAATCCTGTCCTCTGATGAAGAGGTCGGGGACGAGGACACAAGTTGGGTATGGACTGACTTCAGCTGACTGCTGGCGCCAGGAGCCTAGCATCCACAGGAATGTGGCCTACATTGTCTTGGGTTGTATTCATCTTTGGTTTTATGTCATTTATTTTCAGAAACCAAGTCCAAAGAACGCCAAGGTCTACAATTTCAGTAGAACCAGAAAATCTGCGTCTGATAAGTCTAAAACTAGGAAGTCTTCATCGGGTAAGTGGAAAGAGTAGCATCAGTTTTGACTTCTGGCTGAGGTGCAAAGTCAAATGTCGCTGTACACTTCAAATCTCAAAGTTTGAGAAAAAATGCTTATTCACTTTCTAGCAGAGTTAGCTTAGAAGACTGATTCCACATTCATATCTGTACATTCAGTTTGAAGCTGGAGCCAGGAGGCGATTAGCTTAGCTTAGCATAAAGATAACAAAAACAAGGGTAAAACGGCTAAAATCTATAAAGAACCTCTAAATGAATGAATCAACAAGTTGTGGTTTCACATTGGTGTTACGTAGAGGACTATTTCATATTTCAAAAAAAGTACACATAAGATGTTAATTAGTGAGCTTAGAAGTGCTCGTAGGCATTTTGGTGGTGGTGTTGTTTTTACCTTTTACCTTTGGACAGAGCCAGGCTAGCTGTTTCCCCCATTTCCAATCGTAATGCTAAGCTAAGCGAACTGTCCCCGGGCTCTATTTCCATAATTTAACGTACAAATATTTGAATATTATCAGCAAGAAAGCTATTACTTCAAAAGTGAAGTCCAGACTTTTTGATGTATCTTCTTGGCATAAGCTGGACGTTTGAGGTTGTTTTCTCTTTAGTATTTCATTATACATTGCAAAACACTGGAAAGGAAATAAGCATCTTGAGTGCAGCTGAAGTATTATAAGAGTTTTGGAAATCTAGGAAGTATTATAATGAGCTAGCAGCTGTCAAAAAGTCTTAGTGCAAACTGTTGTTCACAAGATGTAAAAAGGTTTTTTGTACTATTCTTCATGAAACTTCAACCACGACAACCTAATTCTTCCTCCTGAAGGCAGTGCGTCTGCCGACCCAGACAAGGCCAGCGCCGATAAACAGAGGAAGAGACGAGGTCGTCAGGGAGGAACAGAGTTAGATGTGGTGCTGGATGCTTTCCTTGACTTCTGTGACCAGTACAGGTAAACTAAGATCATCATATCATGTCACTACACAAGAACCACTTGCATTCACAAACGTTTTTTATTGCAGTTGGAGACGGTTACATTCTTTGTCGTCTTGTATTTATTTTGCAGAGAGTCTGTGGAGTCTAAAGTGGTCAAACAGTCAATTGATTCTTTTTCCTCCAATGTGAAAGAGCAACTCTTGGAAAAGGTAAGGAGGAGGAAGCAAAAGAGCAACTGGACGCTGTTTTCAAAATGTTTGTTTTATTTAACAGGGACAATGCACATTAATCAACACCGTAGTAAAACTTCAATGTAAATTTGCCATGGTTAGCTAAATAGCTCATTTTCATCTGTAGTATAGTTAGTTATAGTATAGTTATAAACCAATAGGTGCCGATTAGAACATCTAGTACAGAATTACAACCATATTTGTAAACTGTTTAAGCATTTTGTTGTATAAGAAATTGTGAAACAGTCGATTTTTAAATCATCTGAGTGGTTACTTTGAGGCTGATGTGAACGAATGGTGTTTTTGATCCAAAGTGCCAATAAGGATTTGACCACAGTGAATTTTTTAACTGCAGATTTACAACCAAACTAAAGATTTACAACCATCTTTTCATGCAAAGAATGTGACAAACAAATTATAGTTGTTAAAGTGTTTTTCCCCAAAAATGAGCCACCAAGACGCCTGCGTAGATTTTTTAATGTGATCATACATACGGTAACATATCTAGCAAAACAGAGGTGAATGGTACGGATTTGTATCGGTATTTTTAATCAAACATGATTATCCACTGGTGTTTATTCTCTTCCAGATCTCTTCTTCCAAGGAGCTTAAAGTTCTAAAAAGAGAAAACGCTAAGGTAACTACTGCGACCAGCTTTTTAATAAATCACAAGTATTAGACGAATTGCAAGACATGGTGCACAGAGGATGAATCCCACATACTTTGGTGATCCCTGACTTTTCATCTAACTCTGCCGTGAGGTTGACATTTGTGGTTTTGAGTGAAATGTCTAAACAACTATCGGTTGGATTCCCATAAATCTGGGTGCAGACATTATACGGATAACAGTTAACATGGTAAACATTATACAGTACCTGCTAAATATCCGGCTGTTAGCATTGACATTGTGAGCACGCTAGCATGCTGTTGTTAGCATTTAGCTCACAGCTTAACCTCACAGAGCAGCGAGCATTGCTGTGGACTTGTTACACATACTACGGTCTTGTTGGCAGCCTGTATTTACTGTACCCTCTGTCTCGTTGGTGTATGTCTGTGTGTATGTCAGGTGGGTTCTTTGATCCGCACAAAGACACAGAAATTGTTGGATGCCAAACACGAGCTCATGAGGTGAGTTTAGAGTCAAAAACACACCAGTTTTCATTTCCACAAACTCAGATTACTGTCGCATTTTAGTGTCCATACTAACCAACTAAAAAAAATCCCTTTTAAAATAATGAGTCCTTAAATCATCCATTGTGTTGCCAGCTAAATACATAATTAACCCAAACCTGTGTTCAGTGTTAAAAACAATCATTATTAGTAACACTTCATGTAAAGGCTGTTTACAACCAAGTCCTCAAGATGACCTTTCCACTGGGTGTGTTTGGTCAGGGCAGAGAGGCAGATGTGGTTGCTGCAAAAGGAGAAAGCTGAACTTAAACTCCGATTAGCTGATCTGAAGCGCGGCCAAGCCTTCCTGCATGACATCAGAGAGCTCTACGGACATTACCTGGATTACCGACACAAACACCCCAAAGAGAAAGAGACGGTATACATGCATACATACTCACTGATGATGTGAATATTGACTTTAGAAATAATAAAAAGTATGACCTGTACTGTCTTGTTATTTGTGTGTGTTGATCATAGATACATCTTTATCTTACTGGAACTTTAATGCACAGATTATGATTTTTAAGAGTTTGAATAAAAGGGTAAAAGGGTGATGTAAAGACTCCTTTCCTCTCCTATTCCGATCCAGTATGGGGCGTCCAGCTTGCCAGCTCTGCTGTTGGAGACCAGGCATATTCAGGTGGCAGAGCAACAGCTGAGAGGAATCGATAACCAACGGGGGATAAGACAGAAGAACAGCACTAGGAAATAATGTGCTATGCCACACAAATACACAGGTTAAAGACTCAAAGACTATATTATGAGCAATACAAAATCTGCTGGAAGTGTTTTAAGGCCTTTATACAGAAAGAAGCATGATGATTTGGATTGTATGTTATATTTTGTGGTTCTGATTTCATTGTGTATATGAGCCAAATCTTGGATCATCGCTAAATATATTGCTAAATACAATACTGTACATATAATAAATGCAAAATGGGGTCATGTTTTGTGTGTTCTTAACAAAATAATATTATTTTGAGGTCATGTTGAATGCTTGAGGTCAAATTGGTTTCCCTTGTATGAGTTCTGTAAAGTAACTTTCTGAGGAAATGTATAAAAAGTGCCTTAACCACTGTTTTTTAGTTTTGTAATGCTATGGGATATGTCGAGACGTCGCCACTGTTCTCTAAGCCAATCAGCTGCGCCCTTTGGTCAAAGGTGCGCCTGACGTTTTATAGCTTCTCTGCCCACACAGGGGTCAGTGTTCCTGATTGGCTCAGAGACATTTCCTTGAAGTTATAGAAAGTACGAGGAGCTGCTAGTAAGTATTTGTAACACCGTCTTACACAAAAAGGTATGTTTATTATGGAAGAAGCATTATAATATTTATTACTACAGTTTGACGAAGCGTGACTGTCAGTTGTAACTTAGTTAACGGGACATGTAAAACCTGGACTCATTGTAACTAGGTTTCTTTTTAACAGCCTAGTTTACGTAAGGAAACGTTAACACCTGACTAATGAGATTTCAGATTTCTGCTAAGTTAAGTTTTAAGTTGGAGGCAGTTGTGAATTCATTGGGTACTTAAAACTGAATGTCGGTGGCCAAGTTATGTATGTTATGGGAGATAAGTTACTGAAAGGAAATTGTCAGCTCGTGTTCGTCGGTCATCTCTATCCACGTAATCCCACGTGTAATGTAAAGTTAACTTTATCTAACGTTAGTAAATGATACCGATGTAATAACGTTGCTTCCTCAAAGAGATGTAGAGCGTAATTAATTTCCTGTTTTTCATCCATGGAGTTTCGCAATTAGATCGTCCTAACGTTACAGTGTTGACACTCCTTACACTGATTTATTATGACTTTGATACATTAAAGATATTTGGTATGATAGCCTGTACTATGATGCAGTACTTTCATCATGGCTCCTAACAATAACGCGAACACCTGGTTAATGCGGTCAGATTGAAACCATCGCGGTTGAAGTTGGATTCCCTGAACAACGGCTGTCTGATGAAACATCCTGTGTCAAAATACCTGGAATCAATATGAGAACAAAAACGCGGCACTCGTCCTGACTCGCAAGTTTCTGCTACCGAGTAAAAATCACAATCAGTGGCTGAACCCTTTTTTTTTTTTTTTTCTTTTTATGATGTGGGGGGGGGGGGGGGAATAAAGCCTTTACCCAGAAAATAAAATGCAATGATATGAAAATATAACATTTAAACGGATAGTCTGCGATTTCTCCACCTCACCTAAAACAAAGACATAAAAAATACCACTCTTATGTAACTAGGAGACTTTCTACCCCAGCCAAACTATTTCCCGGGGGGAAACCTGCATAGCATTATTTCTAACAAGAAATTGCAGTGCAGAAATGCCAAATTAGGATTTAGGTATTTCAGATGCTGTTTTCTCCATTATGAAGTTTTTTTATTTGTTCGCCAGAGGGACGTTGATTTTTCGACTGTAAAATGTCCTGCTTAGTGTCAATCTGGGTCACAATTGTTTTTAAACAACGAGTCAAATGGATCCTTGTTGACATTGTTGTTTATGTAGTGTGTTTATGTTAAAGAAATACTGTTTGGGCCAGTATTAGTAGATCTCTGTCAACTCCTAAATATTGCTATCTGTAGTTCCCTGAAGTATCCAGTAGAGGTCAGGCAACAGTTGTCACTGTTATTTCATGGAAAGATGAAGTTAACAAAGCATGTTTTAGTGCAAAAACGCAGTCAAGATGGACTCTGTTTCCCAAATGTCAGACTGTTTATAGTGAAGATGAAACTTTAATATTATCATGTGGTTGCATGAAGGAACTACAAATCTTGTTTTGTTATAATGACTAACAACCTTGTACCTTGTATGTTTATCGCAGTCAGTGGTTCTGAAGTTGCTTTAGCTGGTGTGAGGAAAGGTTTGTTTTAAATGGCACTGAAAGTAATTAGATGTTGCCTGCACTTCTTTGAGAGAATGCAAGATACTGAATTTCAGGGAATGGAGGAGAAAAATCGATGTGAATCTTTTTATGTTGGTGGTTGTTTCCACTTTCTACGTCACTGCCTCTTATGCATTTGTGCTTGTAGGAACATGGCTGGTCTTCAAGGTGACGATGACTTGCAGAGTGGTGGGGACTCTGTGGACGCCTTAAAATTTCAAAAGAAGTAATTGTACTTTGGTTACTGTCTGATTACCCATATGTTATGTACCCAAACCTGTAGGGTAATATGTAATCTCTCCAATTATATTATTTATGTTGTATTTTTTCATGTTATTAATGAGATTTTATTCATTTCTTTAGCAAATATTTTTCATAACATATTTATCCACACGGGAAATCTGGTAACAGTTTGACTTCTTTGTCTGTTATTCAGTTTGCCACCGTGTAGGTTGTGAACCATTGGCAGACATTATTTCAGCTCATTTACAAGGTGCTGAATGAGCACTCAAACAGATGCTAAAACCCCCAACTGATGCAGAACAAGTTTAGATACCACTGAGCTGTTCAAAAGTGTTAAAACGTCTGCTCTAGTGAGATTGTGCTGAACAAGTTTCAGCCATTTTTACTGTGCGTTTACGAGTCTGTGTGTTTGTGTATGTAAATGTTCAGGCCAGATGCAGCGCCCGCAGGCAATAGGAAGACTGCAGAGGAAGTGGTTCCCAGAAGCAGTAGAGCAGCAGGCTCCGACCCTTACTGCTACAAGATGGACTACCCCTGCCTCGGAACCTGTCTGGTTATCAACAATAAGAACTTCCACCAAAGCACAAGTAAATGCACCCATTTGACAAGTCTCACTTCTGCTGACTGCCTCAATGTTATGCCCTGTATATGCTTCAATGTGGCATTTGTGTGAATATTCTTTGTTTTGATTTGTACTGTTTTAATGCATGAATTGTTTTTTGTGTTTGTCTCAATTGTGTGTCAAACGCTTAGTATGTCTACTTTCTTCTGCTTAGTTTTGTTGTAAATATAATTGTAATGTATTTTATTGGATGTATGCCTATTGACAACTGGCCGGGGACAACAGCTGGAAATTAGCCGTAGAGGCTAAAGCTGCTCTTTTTATCAAAAGGGACTGTCCACGATATTATAAACAAATAAACTAAACTAAACTAAATGAGTGATGGCAGAATTCTGTTTAGCTGCGTCTGTTTTGGGGTGACTGACACTTGAATAGAACAAAACCATAGGTATAGTTATTAGTAACATCGGTGCTTTTCCTCTTATGACAAGTCAAAATGTCGGCTGTGCACAAGGCCTGTCTAATAGACGTGCTCCTCCCATACTGCCGCTCTGTATTTTTGAACGAAGCTTGCGTAAGTAGACCCAAATAAGAAGAAAACGTTCCAGTTCTCCTGAATGTATATTAAAGCATTAATATACCCATGTCACATCTGCCTCCTCTGTCACCAAGTTTACCAAAAGGAGCCACAGTTGTTTTTCTGTTTCAATTACATAAACACACAGTTAGACAAGACACAGCAACCGGATATGTCTAACAGTCTAAAGAGTCTAAACTGTCTGCTCTCTTGGGTCTGCAGAAAGAAAGTGAGTTCAGAAGGTTCCGGTTATAGACTTAGTGCTTGAAAATTTGCATCGCTGGTCTTTGCTCCATAATAGGTGCTGACATTGAACATTTTCTGCAATTCTACTTGTGTTTGTGTGTCTCTCTAGACATGAGTCAACGTAATGGGACAGATGTTGATGCTGCTTCTGCTATTAAGACCTTCTCTGATCTGGGCTATAAGACAAGATATGTCAATGATCAGACTGTGGAGGAGATGAAACAGCTGATGTTAAGTGGTAATAAAAACTACAACTGATCTCATTCATTCTAGGTTACAACTATGGCTGTTCACTGTCATGTTAACGCTTTATTGAAAGGGACCAGTGTTGGTACTCATTTATCATTCATCAGGTGACAGTTCTGTTGACTGCACTTCCACAGGAGCTCGCAGCAACCACTAGATGGCAGCGCCTGAGGGTGGTTACTGTTTTATTCCCTGATTAACTGGAATGACTTTTAAAGTAGTCATCCATGTCAGACCTGTTGTGTATTGCAGTCTGAGAACTAAAACTGCTAGATGCTAAATTAACAGCACTGTCCATAAGATACAATGTTGCCCAACAGTTAAAATGAGAAAGGAGAATGTATCCGAGCTGGTAATGTAACCTTGTCTTGTTTTCTATCTGTTCTTGTGTGTGTTTCTAGTATCCAAGGAGGACCACAGTAATAGTGCGTCATTTGCATGTGTGTTGCTAAGTCATGGAGACGAGGGGGTGATATATGGCACAGACGGCTATGAAAAGATTGAAAACCTGACAAAATACTTCAAAGGAGATCACTGTAAGAGTCTTGTGGGGAAACCAAAGCTCTTCTTTATACAGGTTCGTTAAATGTAGCCACTGTTCATCTTGTATTATCACCTGGAAAATGTATCTTGAGATGCTCGTATAGGGCTGCAGCTAGCTACTGTTGGTCATGTTCAAAAACACATTATTTTTCTCAAATTGTTTTAGCTACTGTCTCTTTAAGGCCCCCCTCCTTAAAAGCCCGCTCTCTTCTGATTGGCCAACTTCCCAGAATCCTCCCAAGGGGCAGTAACTAGCTGGTATAGCCCTGAAAAGAAGATTGGAGATATGTCTGGCTATGTGAGACTCTGCAGCAGCCAATGCTTGAGGCCCACACCGCCTCATCCTCTTGCCGGTGTGCTTAAGGGCTATGACAGTTACAGTAACTTAGCTTGGACATAAGGCACAGAATATGATGTATTTACTGTTTATCAAACCACAAATGAGACAAGAATTAGAGATGCCGCTGCTAGCCGGGCCGCACTGATTACAGTACAAAAACACAATTTTATAATTTTATTCATTGATTTTGGTGAAGCTGGATCTTATTTTATGGAGAAAATATTTTATGGTTTTCCTGCGGATGTTCTTTTGCTGCTCTGCCTCAACTTTCCGGGATTTATGGAGTTTCCTGATTAGCAGTTTAGCAGCTACTACTACCTGCTAACTGCCGTGCAGCTAGCCGTCCTATTAGCTGACTGTGCCCGGACTGGAAGCTTGGTGCTCCGGGGCCGGGGGTGCGTTGGGGCTAACACCTCTAGTACAGGAGCTCTGGACCGCTGGGAGTGCCCAGTTCAGGCAGAGTCAGCTGATAACAGCAGTTATCAGTAGCATACGGTTACTGTAGCGTTAGCAACAAGTAAAGCTATCTGTCCATCAGGTAACTCCGTAAATCACAAAGAGTTGAGGCAGAGCAGCTGAATGAAATATCATAAGAAAAAACAGAAAATATTTAACTTTTCCTCGTAACTGTAAAAGCACTTTCTGCGAGACACTGAACAATCTCCATCTCTAGCCGAGCAATGGTGTTGTGTTGGACGGTGGGGGCATGACGGAGAGCGGTGTATTTAGCACAGTGTTCAGTGGGTGGTGCTGTCCACTGCGTTGAAGGGCTGGAGGCGGTCCTATGTTACACAGATCCCTCCATGATGTCATGAAGGGAGCCAAAAATTAAACGGTGTGTTTGCACACTCTGAAAATACTGAGCAGGAGAAAAAGTTAATGGGTCATTAGACACATTAGATAAATTATGTACATTTTTCATAATATGAAACCTTCAAAGTTGCCTACTTTTAGGTCAATACATGTTTTTATATAAATATATAAAGGATATTTCTCCACCAGAATTTTATTCCTGGTGGTGTGGAAGAAGCCTTTGAGGAAGCTAGACCGTCATGTCAGAAAATAAAATATACAGAAAAAAGATGAAAATAATTTTTCTTAATCAAATCATTTTCAAAAATGAGGTGGGCGGTGCACTGGCTAATGCCATACTAGCAGATGCTTGTTTTATAGTAATATCTTGTTCTTTTTTTTCACTATTTGACTCCAAGCTTTGAATTAAATTTTATGTGTAAGTACAAAAGTCAAAACTCTGGGCTCATTATGACACCTAGTCAGATGTGACTCGTTTAAGGAAAAATCAACTTGTTGGAGTAAATTAGAACAACCACCGTTGGTTGTTAATGTATCTTTTAATCCACAGGCCCTGTCTGCAGAGTCCCAGCACTATTGTGAAACACTATCACACTTAATGTACATATACAGGGGTTTCCTGTCCTTTTTAGGCGTGCCGTGGTACAGACCTGGATGACGGCGCCTTCATTGAGACAGACAGTGTAGAAGAGCAAACAGAGAGGATTCCTGTGGAAGCAGATTTCCTGTATGCTTATTCCACTGCTCCAGGTAAGTAATAATAGTAGTGGTAGAAAAGACTGCCCGTTGAGAAAATATTCACTAAATGAATCGTGGATAACTGGCTGATATCTGTTTATAACCCTGGTATTCATGTGTAAGTGGTAAAGCAGTGTGTCACCGTGTGCACCTTTTTGTAAGCACAGTAATTTGTCCTGCAGGCTACTACTCATGGAGAAACACAGCCAACGGTTCCTGGTTTATGCAGTCATTGTGCGAGATGTTGTACTGTTACAGAGGAAAGCTGGAGCTGATGCAGATCATGACCCGAGTCAACCGCAAGGTGGCACTACACTTTGAATCTGCCTCCAACCTTCCTGGATATAGTGGCAAGAAACAGATCCCCTGCATTGTCTCAATGTTGACCAAAGAATTCTACTTGCCTGCCTAGATTAAGATCAGATTCTTTTGTTTTACCTACAGGATACTAAAGGGTGTTGGGACAATTTCCAATGATTCATTTTCAATGAGCCCATATCACTGATTATGCGCTTTAACAGTAGCAGAAGCATAGAACTGTGGACTTTTGTATGTTGGTGGAGAGGAGGTGGTGTGGATCCATATTCATCATAAACTATATGTTTATAATCCAGTGCCAATACTCTTACTATGTTGTTCTATTCTGTACAAGCAACATCTATTGCATGTCTGTCCTGGAAGAGGGTATCCAATGATGTTCTTGCTGTAGTATTTTCCCCCTTAAAAGAGGTTTTAGGGAGTTCTCCTCTTTTGAATCAAGGGCAATGTTGTTTGCTGAAAAATGTGTGATTTGTGATATCGGGCTATATCAATAAAATTGAATACATTTATAGGATAAACAGTTAGTTTACTACATACAGTTTGTTGCTTTTTACCAGTTCTGGTATGCAATAAATGCACAAGCACAAATGGATCACTGTGATTTGTCCTTATAGGTTATTAAGCTTCCGAGTCTCTAATCAGCTGTCACATAAAAAAAACTAATCACAAAGTATTTGACCAAAAAAAGGTTGGCTTTTGGAACAGATCACTGTCTCTTCAGAAATGTGGTAATTATTAAGTAGCCGTGTGATGAGTTAAAGCTACCTATACTGAGCTGAGCAACAAAATGATAATGCTAAGAATGAATAATCTAAATGGGAGTCCTGTTGCAGAATATCTAGAATTTCTTTCCCTTTCAGATGATCATAGATCTACCGGAGGGGTGGTAGTTTTTGTGTTCATGTATTACTACATTCCTACTTTCACTGCCTCTTTACTCCACCTTTGGGGATTAAAACATGATAAAGGTAAATAAAGGTAAACTGTAGTCACCCAGTCCTTACATAAACTAAAATGTATTTCCAGTGTGGTCCTCGTTACAAGGGAAACAGTACAAATGACAGATCTTCAAGTCTATGAAATTAGTTTTGCAGTTATGAATTACATTTTGTTAAGAAATTATCATCCGAAGTATAATTTCATTTGAGCCAATGCAGGGTTAGAACTGTGACATTTAGGTTTGGCAAATTATTAACACACACAGCATTTTGAGACAAACTTTATGCCAGTCTGAACAAAAAACTACTTGTATCACAAGGCCATGCCCGCCTGCTGACAATGTAATTTTTGTGTTTTAAAATAAGAGCATGCAGTCTTATCAGTCTAAAAAAAATCTGTGATATGTGACGTGCATTCATTATTTTATCATGTAAAAGTGACACAGTGAGTATAAGGGTGTGTTTATTTGTTCTATGTACAAATAAATGTCCACTGTAGCCATCTGAAAATGGCATGGAGTAAAATGCAAATCCAAAAAGTGTAGAATTGACATTCACAAATCAAAACTGGATTCACAAATGCCTGTTTGACAGTTGTAAATGTTAGGAAGATGTTCATAGATGCTTTTCATTTATTTGTGAACTAATTTAATGCATTCACAGATATTTTTTCTGCAATTTGTTTGTGTATTTGCAGATCTGTTATATGTTTGCAAGATTTAGTTTACAGTTTTTTTATTTGTGGAATGTGTTTTATATTTACAGATTACAGTTACACACAAATTGTTAATCTGTTCACACAAATAATATTGCGATAAATCTGTCTCATAGAAAGGAAGCACCTATGGAGGTTATAGCAGTATGTAGATTATAGCAAACACAGAAATTAATTTATTGAGTAAAAACTAAATTTTTTGGTTTGCTTAAATTAAATTATTCCTTACATGATAAATATTATTCTTGTGTCTGCAAAAACAAAAACATTTGTCCGCCTTCAGAATGTCCCATTGCATACTCAGGATTTTGAGACAAATATAACAACATACAAGTCAGGCAAGACAAAACAAACTGAACTCACTATTTCACAACTGTTTCTTTCCCAAAAGTGTCCAAAAAACCCTGCCACGCTGCAGTTGCTCGACTTGGCTACCTGTTATTGCATAATTATCTCTGATATGACTGAAATAGTTGGGTTGTGTAACCGGAAACCGCATTCTTTTCTGGTTTGTAAATGACACCTAAGGAATTCTTCTTTCCAAAGAAAATCTTTGAGAATGTGCCAGCTGCAAGTGTGTACAGAGATACACACCCATTATAAGCTCACATTTTAGTGATTTGTGAACTTGTGTATCGAAAGGTGGCTGCACAACAATGTGTCCTTGAACTAAAGCCCAAGCAAGAATGCTAAATGTTGCAGTCTGTTGCAGAGCTGTTGGACTTAGCTATTTTAGCCTATTGACAAGTGGAGGTCTGGAATTAAAAGTGTCTCAGATACTGTCACAAAGATCTTTTTGGGAAGGGGGGCTATTTAATTCCAAATGTTGTCCAAAAAAATTTATGGTTTAATTCCAAGGTCATAGACTTGACAATCTGGGTCTTGTTATCATTGTTAACTTTTGTGTACCTTGTTGTCAAATATCAACTCACTACCAAGAGTTCCTGTTATCGAGACTGATAAATGTAATGAGAATGTACTTTGCTTTGGAAAATTGTCAAATACTGTTTATATGAATGATTAACAGCATGGGATTGTTTTGCATGGTAGTGGCAGGTATGTGGGCATGTTTCAACCACTAGGGGAAGCCCGAGAAACATTTAGTGTAGTTCTGAGTTCCTTTAATGAATCAGCAGTCTGTCAAATGTACACTCTTGCAGGAACTGAAACTCTAAATTTAACCCCTGATTGCACAGAGCAGACCATTTGGTTAAACAGTTCAAATACAGATAAATAAGGTTTTCTCCATGGCTTCTGTCTGTGCTGTGTTTGATTCTTGCTGTCACTCTTGTTTATGTGTTTCTCAATAATTTGAACAAGGGGGGTAACACCCTCCTGTATGTTTACCACACATACACACACACACACACACACAGTGTGTATGATGTAGAGTATGGCTTTGTCCTTTTACCTGTCTATATGCCTGCTTTCAGTCATGGCCCATCAGTCTTGCTGTTTAAGTATAAACTTGTCTGTCTTAGTTTATCAGACACCTCCCCAGCTGCCGCATGTTTGTGTGTGTGTGTCAGAAAGAGATAACCCAGACCTTATGCAGATCTCTGCTGCTCATGCCCGAGCAGTTTAGCCTACACGTCTTTAGTTTGCAGATAGAATAACGCCCCCCCCCTCCCAAAAAAAACAACAACCAATTATCTGTTCCTGTAGCCTAATCTTCAAAACCCATTTTAGAAAGAGCCATGTTAGGACCGAACAGTGGCAGAAATTATTAATTTCATGGTCATAAATTCATCTGAAAAGAGCACTTAACCTTGACTTAGATTTGACGCTTTCAGAGCTGCATGCATTCATATATCTCTATTTTAAAGAGGACACATGTAAATAAAGTCATAATATTAGGCAGGTTGTACGCTGCCGTGTTTAAACCTTTTAAAATGCTTAATGTCAGTCTAACCGTGATTTAATTACCAATATCATAATAAACTATTTAGATACAATTGCATGTTTAATAATGTGCACATTTTCATCAGAAATTGCAAAGGTGCAGTTTTAGCGTCCTGATTGAAAGTCGTACAATATCAAAAGCACTCTGACTGCAGGACATCAGTCCAGCGCAGGCAAATGAAGGGAAAACCCTTTCCAAATAACTGCAGGTGGGATGTTTATTCACACATAGGCGGCTGCTAGCTTAAAGTTTCTGGTTTCGTTTCTGGCATCAACCGCGCAGAACTGGACTTGAGGGTTGTGATGGGGGACGAAGGAAGTGAAAATGAAATCCAGCCCAAAGATCGTCTATGTTTTTTTGAAGAAAGCGATTCAAAAGTGGCCGTCAAGTTTCAACATACACCCCTACTTTATCAATAGTTGTTCACGCTCTTAAGTTGTTTCACTCAACCATATATATTTTTAAGGGTAGGTAGACTATTTAGTAGTATTTGCAGTAATTAGCACGGTATTTTATCTGCGTACAGGTGTAATATCCACCGTGTTCCTAAACCTGATATAACCAGAGTCTGTAAGGTACGGGTGGAAAAAATGACGATCCAATGTACATTGGGAAGTTGGTTCGTTTGAATTGCATAAATGAGTATTGAGAGTATAATGTAGCAAATATATATATACAGGTACACGAGGCAACTAAATAAATAAAACGTGGGAAGAGGCTTGTGTTGATTTTCGTGGTACCAAGAAGCACAGCAGAGTGAGCACTCTTCGTGATGGGTTTTTCCTTGGGAGCGCGCACGCAGCCAAGAGACTTCCGCGACGGCGCTCGAGAACGACCCAAAGCGAGCGAGCACGAAGGCAGGAGGGGGATTTCCAGCTCGAGCCCCCACTTCCCGAAGCAGCCGTTGTTTTGCTTTCGGTCTGGACACAGAAACAGAAATAAACGACGGCCACACTTTCCCTTTTCCACTTAAAACCCACAAATAAATTAACGTCCAACTCCAGCTGCGCGTATTATTGTGACAGCAGGACCGCGAAGCTACAGGCCGTCCAAACCGAACAGGTAACATTTTATTTCCGCATATTAACGCCTTTGACTTACGCTCACACACAGGCTTCCCACAGGACGACATGACGGATCCCGAGCTTGCTGTGTAAGTGAAAGTAGTACTGTAGTTTTTCTCTGCGTTTGTTGACTAGCTATGGCATTTATTTTCACTTTTGGCTCTGTTGCTTTAGGGTCAGCGCGCTGGCAGACAGCAGACAAATAGACCGCCGTTAACTTTTGACACGACGCTGTTAGCGAAATCAAACTTTGATCCCAAATAACGTTAAACCTGTTGCTAGGATTTACTGAAAGTCAGAGGCATTTGTTAAATGTCGGTAACGTGTAGTGTCGGACGGACTGCTTTTGTTTAGTTTGACATTTTGAAAGCTATATTTGTGTTTTGCTATGCGTGGAGAAATGGACTTATTCATGTTGTAACGTTATTCAGGCCTTTGAAGTCTGTTATTTGGAGTGCATGTAGGAACCACTAAACTGTGTGAGTTATCACAGGGTTGAGCTATCATGAAGCCATTGTACATATGATTCAATATTCATAGAATTCATACAGCCTGGCCACGGATGTCATTTACCTACTTTAAAGAAAATCAGGGATAGTAAATACTGTGCACTCTGAAAAAACACATTGCCACACAGTTTTTATAACCAGCAGGGTTGGTCTGAAACTAGTTTAGGCTGACTTCATGCCTTACCCTCATGATTTCTTACCTTGTTTGCATTTTAACCCTAAAATTAATTACATATGTTATCACTAATACAGCCATACACATTTCCAATTCAACATACTTAACTACCGTGCCATACACTATTTATAATACTACCTTTGTAAACTTATGTTGGCCAGAGTAATATAGAGTAGATGGTATTGTACTGCAGCCAGCCTCTACTGTTATGCAGTGTTTCACCGAGCAGTAAGCAGGATGCAGCTGGAAGTTTCAACCCTGTGGCTCACAAGGGATAATATTTTGTAT